TTGGGGACGCCTGGGGGGCTTTTGGGGACCCCCGGGGGGCTTTTGGGGACCTCCGGGGGGCTTTTGGGGACCCCCGGGGCACTTTTGGGGACCCCTGGGGGGCTTTTGGGGACCCCCGGGGAGGTTTTGGGGACCCCTGGAGTGCTTTTGGGGACCCCGGGGCGCTTTTGGGGACCCCCGGGGGGCTTTTGGGGATCCCCGGGGGACTTTTGGGGACCCCCAGGGAGGTTTTGGGGACCCCCGGGGGGCTTTTGGGGATCCCTGGGGGACTTTTGGGGACCTCCGGGGGGCTTTTGGGGACCCCCGGGGAGGTTTTGGGGACCCCCGGGGAGCTTTTGGGGACCCCTGGGGGGCTTTTGGGGACCCCCGGGGAGGTTTTGGGGACACCCGGGGGGCTTTTGGGGACCCCCGGGGGGCTTTTGGGGATCCCCGGGGGGCTTTTGGGGACCCCGGGGTGCTTTTGGGGACCCCCGGGGGGCTTTTGGGGACCCCCTGACCCGCGTTCCCCCCAGGTTCAGGATGAAGTGTCACCTGTGCGTCAACTACATCGAGCTGCAGACGGACCCCGGGAACTGCGACTACGTCATCGTCAGCGGGGCGCGGCGCAAGGAGGAGCGCTGGGACCCCTCGGACAGCGCCCAGGTCCTGCCCACCGGTGAGCGCCAGCGCGGCCCGGTGACCCCGCTCGGTGCCGGGGACGCGGTCACGCCCTGGTGCGGTGGCCCCGGTGCTTCCCGGTGCCCCCGGTGCCTCCCAGTCCCTTCTGGTGCCTCCCGGTGTCCCCGGTGATTCCCAGTCCCTTCTGGTGCCTCCCGGTGCCTCCCGGTGATTCCCAGTCCCTTCTGGTGCCTCCCGGTGCCTCCCGGTGATTCCCAGTCCCTTCTGGTGCCTCCCGGTGCCTCCCGGTGATTCCCAGTCCCTTCTGGTGCCTCCCGGTGTCCCCGGTGCCCCCGGTGCCTCCCAGTCCCTTCTGGTGCCTCCCGGTGTCCCCGGTGCCTCCCGGTGATTCCCAGTCCCTTCTGGTGCCTCCCGGTGCATCCCAGTGCCCTCGGTGCCCTCAATGCTTCCCGGTGCCCCCGGTATACCTGGTGCCTCCCGGTGATTCCCAGTGCCCCCAGTGCCTCCCGGTGTCCCCGGCGACTCCTGGTGATTCCCAGTCCCTTCTGGTGCCTCCCGGTGCCCCCAACTCTTCCTGGTGTCCCCGGTGCCTCCCGGTGCTCCCAGTGCCCTCAGTGCATCCCGGTGCCCCTGATGCTTCCTGGTGCCCCTGATGCCTCCCGGTGCTCCCGATTCCTCTCGGTGCCCTCGGTGCCTCCCGATGGCCTCAACGCTTCCCGGTGCCCCCGGTGCCTCCCAGTGCTCCCAGTGCCCCCAACGCTTCCTGGTGCCCTCAGTGTCTCCCGGTGCCCCCGATGCTTCCTGGTGCCCCCAGTGCCTCCCAGTGCTCCCAGTGCCCCTGGTTCCCCCGGTGTCCCCGGTGCCCTCGGTGCCCCCAGTGTCCCCAATGTCCCCCGGTGTCCCCAATGCCCCCCAGTGTCCCCAGTGTCCCCGGTGCCCCCAATGCCCCCCGGTGTCCCCAGTGTCCCCGGTGTCCCCAATGCCCCCCGGTGTCCCAAATGCCCCCTGGTGCCCCCAATGCCCCCTGGTGCCCCCAGTGTCCCCGGTGCCCCCAATGCCCCCCGGTGTCCCCAGTGTCCCCGGTGTCCCCAATGCCCCCCGGTGTCCCCGGTGCCCCCCGGTAACGGCGTCCCCGCAGCCGCGGAGCAGCGCGAGCGCCTGGCCCTGGACCCCATGTTCCGGCTGGAGCACGGCGTGACGGACCGGGGGGTCCTGGAGCGCGCCGCCCCCACCCTGACGCGCCTGCAGGAGGCTCAGGACGCCTGGAAGGACGATTTCGGCCTCAACAGCCGCCTCCGGCAGCGCTTCAGGGTCAGTGGGGGCTCCGGGACCCCCCACTTTTCACTGGGGTCTCCAGGAACCCCAAACACCCAGCGGGGAAGCTCCTAAAAGCCCAGCGAGGGGCTCCTGCCCGCCCAGGGGGTCTCTGGGCCGCGCAGGCACCCCCGGGGGTCTCCGGGCCGCGCCCCCAGCCCCGTTTTTCCCCCCAAGGAGGAGAAGAAGCTGCTGCGGGAGAAGGAGGAGGAGGAGGCGGCGCTGCAGGCGCGGGCCGGGCTCAGCATCCCGCTGCTCCGCGAGGAGGAGGAGGATCGGCGCCTCGCCGCCCTGCTCACCCTGCGCGCCCCCGACTGTGCGTGGGGGGTCCTGGGGGGGGGTCCGGGGGGGTTCCGGGGGGTTCGGGGCGGCCCCGAGTCCCCCCTGAGCCCACCCTGTCCCCCGCAGCCTACGAGGAGAAGCAGCGGCTGAAGCGCTCCGAGATCTCCCAGCGCTCCTGGTTCGGCCCCGGCACGGCCCGAGCGGCCGGCGGGACCCTCCAGAAATTGGGTCTGGGGGCGGGACGGGCGCCGAGGGCACCCCCGGGGCCGCCCCCCACCCCCGCCGGGCTCGGCATCGTGCGGCGGCGGGCGGCGGAGGAGGGGCCGGCCCCGGCACCCCGGGAGACCCCCGAGACCGAGCCGGAGCCCCCCGGGGCCGCCCCCCAGACCGGGGGAGCCCCCCCGGACCGCGCCGGTGCCGCCCCCGCCCCGTCCCTGGTCGCCGACTACTCGGACTCCGGCTCCGACAGCCCCTGAGCGCGGTTCTGGGGGGCCGGACCCCCCCCTTGGGCTGTTCTGGGGGGGCACCGAGCCCCCCTGGCCGCCCCCAGAGACCCCCCCCTGTAATTTATAAGCCCGAAATTAAAGCGATAGCGGCGAGCGGCGGCTGCTGCGCGTCCCTGCCCGGCCCCGGAAGGGGCGCGGTCTCTGTCGCGCTGTCGCGATGGCGCTCGAGTCGCTCCGGTACCGGCGCGGTTCCCTCGAGGTTCTGAACCAGCGGCTGCTGCCGGGGCAGCTCCGCTACGAGCGGGTGGGGGGCGTGGAGCGGGCCTGGGGGGCCATCCGAGACATGGAGGTGAGGGGAGATCTCCCCCCGCTGCTTCCCCTCCTCATCCTGACCCCCGCAAAACCCCCTCCCCTTCCTCCCCACGGCGCCCCCCTTGTTTGGGGGACCCCCCAAATCCAGCCCTGGGGGGGGCTCAGCGGTTCTTTGTGCCCCCCACCCGTCCCCAGGTGCGGGGGGCTCCGGCCATCGCCCTGCTGGGCTGCCTCAGCCTCGCCGTGGAGCTGGCGGGGGGCGCGGGACCCTCGGAGGATTTGGGGGCGCTGGAGGAGTTTGTGGGGCAGAAATTGGGGTTCCTGCTCAGCGCCCGCCCCACGGCCGCCAACCTGGGCCGCGAGGCCGAGCGGCTCCGGGCGTTCGTCCGGCAGCGGGTGGAGACCCCCGGGGTCACCCCCCGGCAGCTGCGGGAGAGGTACCGACCGGGGGGTGCGGGGGGTTTTTGGGGGGGGCGCCGGGAGGAGTGCGAGGGGTGCTGAGCTCAGGGTTGGGGACCCCCGCGGGGAATTGGGGGGGCTGGGAGGGGTCTGGCGTGGTTCATGGGGGGGATCTGGGGGGGTTGAGGGAGGTGCCGGGGTCTCCCAGGTGGGGATTTGGGGTCTG